AATCTGTCTTGGCTTAAGTATGAGGTGATTAGCTCTACCTCCTTGGTCGAGGTGGTCTCCAATCTCTCTTTGTCTAAGTAGGAGGTGATTAACTCTACCTTCTTGGTCGAGTTGATCTCTAATCTTTCTTGGCCTAAGTGGGAGGTGATCAACTTTACCTTCTTGGTCGATGTGGTCTATAATCTTTCTTGGCTTAAGTGTTAATTGATAATCTCTACCCCTTTGGTCAAGGTAGTCTCCAATATTTCTTGGGTTGAGTGGGAGGTTAGCTTTACCTATTTCGTCGAGATGGGCTTTAACCTTTTTCACTGCTCTAAATGGCCCCCACATAATTGACGCAATTGGTCAATGGTGGATGTTTATTCGCCTATAACAAATTGATAATATATATAAATTGAATCACCAAGAAAAAGAAAAGAAATAATGAAAGTTGAAACTTGTAAAATAAAACTATCAAATTTTCAAACCAAAAAAATAAAGAAGATGAAGTAATTACAACACAATGATTTATAGTGGTTCCACTAAATTGGTGTACATCCACTCTTCGGTCAATATCTCAACTTTCTATTAAAAAATTGTGCAAAAGTTACACCCTCTTGCTAAATACAAGAAGAAAATCCCCTGTTCACATATCGAAAACAAGAATAGAGCAAAAAGTTTCTAAACCTAAAAATAGTAAATGGGCTGAGGTGAAAATGGACTGAGTGTAAGCTTTTAGAAAAAATAAAATGATGTAAACATTTGTTGATGTCTCAGTTTTTTCACAAATCACCCTCGTGATACAAAGCAAATTTTAATTGTTGAAAAAAAGCCTAAGACATTGATCGAAACCACGAACCATCAACGTTTTCAGCCAATGCCTACTTTAAGTAGGCAATATAGGTAACTCAACCTAACTCCTGAGACCACCATCGTGAGCATATCTGCTCGATTATTAGAAGAAAAAATCTTTTCAAGCTTCACTTTCTTTGATGCTATACTATCTCTCACAAAATGAAATTTAACATCTATATGTTTTATTCAATGATGAAACATATGATTCTTTGACAAAGTAATTGCACTCTGGTTGTCATAATATATACATGGTTGAATAATAATTCCAAGCATATCACGAATTAATCAAGATAACCATATTGCCTCATTCACAGAATCTACTATAACAATATATTATGCTACAACTGGCTGAAAGTTAGACATCCAACTTATAGTATTCCGAATCAATGTAAACACATAACCTGAAGTTGACCTTCTTTTATCAAGGTCTGCAGCAAAATTAGCATCTACAAAATATTTTAAAATGTCTAGACTATCCTCAGATTTTTAATATATCAACCCATGCCCTTGACTGAATTTTATATATCTCAAACCCATTTGACAACCTCCCAATGAGGTTTATCAGGCATACTCATGAAGCGACTAACAACACTAACTGAATATGTAATATCAGGACGAGTACAAATCATCCCATACATTAAACTCCCAATTGCATTCGAATATGGGATATGAAACATACCTTGTATCTCAGTTTTAATTTTTTGGGACTTGTCTCTTGACCTCTTAAATGCTAAGCAAGAGAAATTTTAACACCTTTTTCTCCACCCATGTTGAAGCGTTTCACTACTTCATCAATATAATCTCAATGGTTTAAAAACAACAAATTGCTAGCATGATTTCTTCGAATTTCCATTTTGAGAATCTTATTAGCAAAGCTAAGATCCTTCATTTCAAATTCCTGACTAAGCAAAAGTTTTAAACTAGCAATTTGAGAAGACGGAAAGCTATTAGCATATCATCTACATAGAGCAAGAGATATGTAGATACATCATTGAATATTATTTTTATGTAAACACAACTATCAAAATCACTTCTACGAAAATAGCTTCTTATCATAAAGGTATCAAAACTCTTATTCCACTGTTGAGACGATTGTTTTAAACCATACAAAGAGCGTTTAAGATAACAAACCTAATGCTCTCTACCTAGTATTACATAACTTGGGGGCTGGTGCATATAAATCTTTTCTTCCAAGTCTCCATGAAGAAAAGTAGTAGTAACGTCCATCTGTTCCAATTCAAGATTAAACTAGTTAACTAAAGTAAGAAGAACTCGAATTGATGTATGTCTTACCACTAGAGAAAATATCTCATTATAATTAACACCATATTGTTGTGTGTAACCTTTAGTCACAAGTCTATCTTTATATCTAGGTTTCTCCCCTTAACAGTGGGTTTAATCCTGAAAGCCAACGACAATCAATCAATTTGTAATCTACAAATGCTTATCAACCAATACCCAAGTTTCCTTCTTGTATAGTGAAGACATCTGTTTATCCATAGCTTCCAACCACAAATCTTTTTCTTCACTATTAACAGCCTCTTCATAATAATTGGGTTCTACATCAGTCAATTTTTATTCACAGTTTAAATCATACACGGTAATATCAGCTTCATATCTCAAAGGAGGTTGAATTACCTGTTTTTCTCTTTCTCCGGTTAACTAATAATCAGCAACTAAACCACGTTGATGGTCATTTTGTTGCTCTTGAGTAATATCAATTTTTGTATGTTCAAAATCAATAACAACAAGATCAGAAGAAGAAAAAATTTCAATATACTCAGTAGTTTAACAACCACACCCTGAAGTTCCTACATCACTTGAAGTTTCAGACGTTCTTAAAGTACCTTATTGTTCAGTCAAAATTTCAAAAGAAGAATAGTTACAATCCTATCCTTTTTGAAATCCTCACAGGACTGATATTTCCAGGGCATTTCCGCTTTATAGAAAGTAACATTTCGACTCGCGATACACTTTCCTTCACCGGTTCTAGCAACCAAAAGTTATACCATTTTATACTCGAATGGTAGCCTAAGAACATACATCGTTTAGCTCTTGGAGCTAACTTATCATGCTTGACATGAACTAATGTTGAATAACCAAACACATGCAAGTAATCCAACTTAGGGGTTTCTCTGTCTATATTTTCTGAGTCTTCATCTGTAGTGCCCAAGACGAGCTTCTGTTAATAATATAAACAACAGTATTACAGCTTCTCCTAAAAACACCTTTGGTAGTTTGCATTAGACAACATACACCTTACATGCTCAAGAACGGTTCTCTGCTCAAGAACAGTTCTATTAAACTTCACAGCTAAACTATTTTGCTGAGATGTATAAGCCACTGTCAAATGCTTCTTAATCCCATATTCAATGCACATACAATTAAAATTCTCATTTAAGAACTCTAATCCATTGTCTGTTTGAATTACTTTAATTTTCCTCCATATATAGTTTTTCAAGAGTTTTTTTTTCTAATCTTTGAACACCTTATAAACATCATTTTTTTTTAACAAGTGAGTCCACACCTTGTGTGAGTAGTCATCAACTTTGGTCAAAAAATATTTTGCACCTCCATGTGAAGCAACTCAAGCTGGCCCCCATAAATCTGAGTGAATATAATCCATAATTCCTCCAGTTTAAATTAAATTTAACTTTCGCTGCCTTCCCAAGAACACTGTGATAAAAAAAAAAACGAATGATGTGATCATATTTGACCCAATACTTCAAAATGCCACGTACACCAACAATGAAGAGAAGCTTGAGGAAAGACCCACCAAACGAAGTAAACTTCATTTGACCCATCAACAAATTTATACCATTTTGAAGGCCAATAAAGGACCTACTAGGGTCAACAGGAAGCATGGAAGGGAAGAGAAACCAAG